GACAACTAGAAATCTGACCAGGGCCACTGCTGGGCCTACTGTACTTCATACCTCCCTGTTCCTAATACCTTTTCTTTGAGATGGAGAGGCTTGCACAAATCTTCCAACCATGTTGTCACCATCATCACCATTGCATGTGCCGCTGCTGCTGCTCTTTAAAGCCAACAAGAAGAAGAGCAAGCTCCCCCTTCTCACTGATGAACAGTGCAGCCATATAGTCACAGTTACTCAGGGTGCATACAAAAGGGGAAAGAGAGCTTGCCTGCTCAGAGCTAGACATGAATGGCAAAGGGAAAGGCAGCCTAATCCATGCCAGACAGAGCACTAAAAAAAAATGTGTGATTTTCAGACCAAATTAATAAACTAGATGGGCTTTGTTCTGACTCATCTTATTAGAGCATATGAAAAGTAGCATTTTATTTAGCCCTTCTTTCTCAATGGTTCAGTTCAAGTAACTAATTACCACATATTCGTTTCTCCTGATATATGTAGACTAATTACTGATTCAGGGAATAATTATCCTCCCCCCACCAAAAAAATTACATTTTCTACCTTTCAAAGAGACAGAACAAGCAATGCTAAATTTTCCATTTCCATTCCATTAATGAGAAAAATGACAGTGAGATATCATATCTAAAATTTTTAAGACATGCTTTTAAATCCATTTAATATGCTAATCTATGCAACAGCACCAACTGGTACAGGTTAAGATTGAAAGCACCTTTGTAAAATAGTACTGGAGCCCATGAAAATAGCACTTGGTCGCCTTTGGAATCATACTGTACACAAACATGATTTGCTTTCCATATATGCTTAAATTATAAGGCAACAAGCCCTAATATGCATGTTAAAAGCTGAGGAGATGGACATGGCATTCAGTGAGGGCTTTAAAGTACAGTGAAACAATTAAGCCAACTTGCAAATCATAATCTACAAAGCTGAGGCTCAAGTACCTTCTTATGTTGACACCACATGTTAATTCTCCCTCACTTCCAAGGTAGATTTCATCACCATTTTGTGTTACAATGGCATAAACATGGTTAATGACAAACATGGTTCTTTTTGTGATATGGGTGGCCACTACTAGGGTAATTCTAGTTAGTGTCAGTCAAGCTTGTGTCAGTCTTGACATAAATGCTGAACTAACATAAAAGCAAGCTATGGAAAGAAGGAGAAATGGAAGCAAGATAGGCTGGGTAAATAAAGGTATGCAATACAGAGTTTTGCATCTATTTGCACTAACATGAAATACCTAATTGCCTTCATTAGAATTTGTGCAAAGCATTATACATTTTCTTATTCTATATTTTTAATTATACTAAATGTTCAGTTTAAAATGAATAAATCTAGGTACAGTAAATTATGTAACAAGAATGAATATTATATAATATTATATTATTATATGAATGAGTATCTTGTTAAATTATGTAATAAGAATGAATTATATTATTTTTTCTTTTATTATTTGGTCATTAAATACTAAAAGAAATATTTTTGGGGTGGGGGTTCTTTATGGATTTAATCTGCAAATTACCCTAATTTGGTCAACTCGTTCAAAGCATAAGCTAAATGCTTATTTGAATATTGCAAACAAAACACCAAAAAAAAGCTACCTTGCTGACTGATTGTTACACTGGCTTAAAATTTTAAATATCCTAAGTTATATTGAGATCACTATTGACTCAGTAAGTAATGCTGTCCTGTTGCCTAACCTGAATTACTAGAATATCACACCAAATTGACTTGCATGCTTCTTTTTTTCTTTAAATGGTTACCTCATAAATAAGAAAGAAACAGTGTGTAATGGAATCTGTTTGGCTTCAATTACTCATCAGTGAAACTGTATAAGCAACTATCAATGCTTATTTTCAGCCTGAAGAACTGACAACCTATCTGCAGTATTCCAAAAAAGCAAAAAGTCAGTAGATTGCAACTATATAGTTTATTGTTCAAGTCACAAAAGGAGGAGTGGCATGGACAGCTGTTAAGAAAGGAAATGAAGGAATGGTGTGTGAGAGAAACAGTAGCAGCTGGAGGGCAACTAGGAAGAAACAGCAGTGGGGGCAGATCCCAGTAATACAAAAAAATCTATGTGCAGTTCATCAGCGTGGAAACCTCTCAGTTCTAGTATATTTTATTTTGGTTTGGAACTGGAAGTGTCACTCTCAGTGAGTGTTAATCATGATTCAGTCAGGATCATGTTTCATAGCATGACTTGAAATTAAGAAACAAGTTCTTATAGTGCATAGAAAAAAACAAAATAGTGAAATAACAAGGAAGAGAATAGTGATCAGATTAATAATAAAAGCAGAAGAAATGAATATTGCTACATTTTCCAAGATTTCTACAGAAAATGGAGATAGCAGAAATGACAATGTGAAACAGAGAAGGCATAGGGAGGAGAGACAACAGTAGAAGATAGTGACAAATAAGGGAAAAATGAGAATGAACAGATGGAGCTGGGAAAAGGCAGAGAAAATAATGCAGTGTTAATTCTGGAAGGAAATACAGGGCTGATATAGGTGAGGTGATTCAGTCTTACTGATGGCTTAGAAAATAAAAAGAAAACTGAAAATAAAACAAAGGAAGGATGTCATGATTTTGGCAAAGTAATAACTCCAAATGGTGTCAACTGTTTCTCTCTCTAGCTATAGAAGTCAATGAGTTCAGTAAACACACATTTCTTCTTGTCTCTTCTCATGTATTTTTTGTTCTATTCAGTGTTTAACACATTTTCATTTTACAATGGCAAAGTACTAATCCATCCTATACTAATGATTATTAATTTGAACTCTGAAATATCATTATTTCAAAACTCCCCCTACTCTGCTAGGATAAGAGGTTGGAAAGCAGCACAATATTAAATGTGGTTACTTTCTAGAGATAAGCAGAACTTCAGAAAATAACTACAGAAATATTAAATGCAGGAACAGAAGGCAGATCCAACCTGTTTGGAAGGGTAAATCATTCTCTCTCCCTCAAGTCTCATGTCCCTTACACTTTTTTCTTCTGTTAGCCTCTAAAAATATAAGCTAACTAAAATTGACTGTCATACATTCTTCCTAAATGGGTTTATAAATGTGCAGCAAAAGATAGAAATCTGCAGTTGCAGTAATAAATAATAAGAAAGTGCCTTATGCTTACTAAAGAATAATTATATAAAGTGGCAATCTTTAAATCTGAGCACAAAATTCAACTTGCTCACTATTAATTATGTGGCTCATGATCAGGCAGCATTTCCATGAGAAAGACAGAAGATCAATTGTACAATGCACTTTGATTAAACAGACTCCACTAAAGGATTCAATATTAAAATGCCACTGATCACTGTTGTTTACTCTGAAGTTCTTATCATTCCCTCTGTTGCTGAGGTTCAGAAGAAAACCCAGGCTTATTCAGCTAAATAGCACATCTGCCTACAAGTTGACGTCAGCAAAATCTAAAGTTCACAGAAGCCCAAAAATATGGAGCAAAAAAAAGGAAGAACCTTCAGAACTATCCAATAAAAACTGTAGACCCTCAAAGACTATGAACACTGACTGATAATAAGAAAATTAAGATAAAGTGGTTTTCCCCTCACTGGGTACCCTTGAGATCTATAGTTTCAACTCACTCATTTCCAGTCAGCATGGCTAATGCTGAGAATTCCGGAATGAAAGTCTACTCATCAAAAGGGTTTACCCTGGGATAAAAGAATGGAATCTCCTGGAAAAGGCATGTCTAACTAAATGAAACACAACAGAAGCACTTTACACAATGTAACTATTTGCCATGGCAATATAATACTTAATAAATAAATTTATTGGAGGTCCAACTTGAATATATTTAATGTTAGAAATCATCAGTTATTATAATTTCTCATTTATTAATTAAGTTTAGCATATTATAGGACAGGACATTTTCCAGATTAGATTTGGAAAGCTAATGACCACTGAAAATATATTGTCATATTGACTATAAAAGACACTTTGGTATAGGTACTATAATCATAGCTGTTACTAACACAGAAAGAAAAAAATGGAAAATGAAAGAATACTTCTGTTATAGAACACAAAACATCCAAATTTTGTGTATTAAGACTTCGTGATTCCATTAACTGAAAGGTTTATTGCTTGTCTGATGAGTTTAGTTTCAGGCTGAAAAGCTCTTTTATTCATTCAAGCATTTACCAGTTGAAATGATACAGCAAAGCTGTATGCCCATGTTGATGAGTTTTCCAGACTGACATTTAGTGAATGATATAATAGTAGGTTATGTTTTATACATGAACTTACAAGTATCAATAGAACAGTAATTTAATTTTTTAAAAGTATATTATAGTGAAAACAAATAAATGAGGACAAATGCAAACCACCACATACTAGTACAGATTTTTTTTAAGGAAAAGGTTAAAAGCAAGTGAAGCAGTACATTGATATGGCATGTCTCTTGATTAACGGGGTCATTAGGCCAGCAGCAGGCCATATCCCTAATACACATCAGAGGCCCATGTTCAATCTTTCCAGACCTGATTCCTGCCCTAAAATCAAGCTTCAATAAGAAGACAATTTTTAAAAAAACATTTATCTTCGCTATTTCCCAACCTAGGAACCTGCTAACATTAAAGTATTCACTAAAGGACATTTTAGATGTCCTCCTTCATACTCTCCTATGTATGGCTTTATTCTTTGGCCCTTTATTTCTTCTTTGAGAATTTGGCAAAGAAAAAAGAAACATCTTCTCAGAAAATAACTTGCAATGCTATTCATTAAGAGATGACATGGGTCAAATCCTGACTCAATTGCATGCCACAACCCTGATTTTGTCCTGCACTTTTCTGAGGACAGAAAAGACCAAACATAATCAGAAGCTGGAATCTATTGAAAAGCTATTTTTACATACATGCACGCATGCATACACCCTTTGGATAGCATATGTTTAAATTCAGGAAAGTCTTGTAAGGCTTTAAGAGGTATGTGCTAAGAAAATTACTATTCAGAAGATATCAAGAGTATTTTTACCTTTTTTGCAACGTGGATGTCAAAAAATGGTTTGTTACGAACACTAAAAGGTTCTTGTGCTTTGTCAATTTGACCATTCTTCATTTTATCATGTCGTGGAAATATAATCTCTTTTTCTATACATGACAGACGAATATTAAAATCACAGTCTCCAACTGGTTGTCCCTGCCAAATTAGAATATCAGAAGTCCATGAATATACAATTTATAAAAATTAACTGATATGCATCAAAATATCACTTAAGTGTTTAACTCAACAACGATTCTCTAATATTGCCATAATTTTGCTGTAGAGATAAGATTAGTAATGAAAAGAATGTCTGGAAGGGAGGCAAGACCACATCTCTTTTTCTTTCAGAGTTCAGATCACTCTGAAAACATTTTTATATTTATTGATTTAAGAGGACACTTCAAACTGTGGACAAATCTAACGTATATTTTATTAACTGTCTCCTTTTCTTTTTATGCCCAGTAGCACAATCCTGATTTTGCAAAGCTTTTCCTACAGATTTCTCTGTATTCCATTTTCATTACCTCTCCTCTCTTTTTAGTCATCGATAAGTATATGTATTCAGTCCATGTTCACTCCTCTCTAGCTCTAAAGCCTCTAGCACTCCCCTCCTTAAACTATCAATAGTGTTCCACATTCCCTCCATTTTACTGATATAAGCTTGTTCTCCCATCAGTTCAATTTTATTCTCCTTCACTTTGTTTTTTCCCCCCACCAATCTATAATACTTCTTTTGCTGCATGAATGCCACCAATTAAAAAGGCTTTCACTCGCCCAGTAAGGTGTAACACACTGGTGGATAATGCATTGTAGTCTGTTTATTACAGTGACATTCATTATTACAAAAAAATGAATGTCAATTGACGCAGAGATGTATTGGCGACTAACAATAAAAGCATTCTTCTATCCCTGCTCAATTTGCACACAAGTGTATTTATGGGTCTCAACAAACCTTAGATAAAGCCAATAAAACTGTAAGAAAGAACCTCACAGGATAACACAACTTATGAAGAGAAAGGGGTGCAATCACCCATATGGTTTGCAGGCAGAGTCTAAAATAATTTGCTACAAACAGCATGGAGTGCAATAATTGTCCTTGTCAAGAAATTCCAGCAAAAAACAGCAAATGTAATCAGTCACTCTGACCAAACAGATAACCTGACAATTCAAACCCTTTCCTTCAAAAACTACATCCTTTTTTCCCTGAAGTAGGTCACACTTTCCTTATTACCTAGACCCTTTAAAAGCACCTGCTAGAAATGCCTGTCCCACTATATTCCCGCGTTTCCCCAGACTGCTTCCTTCCAAACCAATGAACCAAGATAGCCATTACCACTTACATACAGTATTAAGAAGTTTTACATCTCAGTACAAAAGTTTCCTTACTAAGACAGATATGTAAACTTTTTTCTACTTGAAAGTATTATCTTAAATATATGGTCATAAAAAGGTAACACATTTGATAAAAATGACATAAGCTTACCATCCAAACCAAGTAATCTAAATACATTTCTTGCATGACATGACATAATGATTCAGCACATTAAAATGTATTTACAGTGGGGCAAAAAAGTATTTAGTTAGCCACCAATTGTGCAAGTTCTCCCACTTAAAAAGATGACAGAGGCCTGTAATTTTCATCATAGGTATACCTCAACTATGAGAGACAAAATGGGGGGAACAATCCAGAAAATCACATTGTCTGATTTTTAAAGAATTATGACAGAGGCCTGTAATTTTCATCATAGGTATACCTCAACTATGAGAGACAAAATGGGGGGAACAATCCAGAAAATCACATTGTCTGATTTTTAAAGAATTATGACAGAGGCCTGTAATTTTCATCATAGGTATACCTCAACTATGAGAGACAAAATGGGGGGAACAATCCAGAAAATCACATTGTCTGATTTTTAAAGAATTATGACAGAGGCCTGTAATTTTCATCATAGGTATACCTCAACTATGAGAGACAAAATGGGGGGAACAATCCAGAAAATCACATTGTCTGATTTTTAAAGAATTATGACAGAGGCCTGTAATTTTCATCATAGGTATACCTCAACTATGAGAGACAAAATGGGGGGAACAATCCAGAAAATCACATTGTCTGATTTTTAAAGAATTATGACAGAGGCCTGTAATTTTCATCATAGGTATACCTCAACTATGAGAGACAAAATGGGGGGAACAATCCAGAAAATCACATTGTCTGATTTTTAAAGAATTATGACAGAGGCCTGTAATTTTCATCATAGGTATACCTCAACTATGAGAGACAAAATGGGGGGAACAATCCAGAAAATCACATTGTCTGATTTTTAAAGAATTATGACAGAGGCCTGTAATTTTCATCATAGGTATACCTCAACTATGAGAGACAAAATGGGGGGAACAATCCAGAAAATCACATTGTCTGATTTTTAAAGAATTATGACAGAGGCCTGTAATTTTCATCATAGGTATACCTCAACTATGAGAGACAAAATGGGGGGAACAATCCAGAAAATCACATTGTCTGATTTTTAAAGAATTATTACAGGCCTCTCTCATCTGTTTAAGTGGGAGAACTTGCACAATTGGTGGCTGACTAAATACTTTCTTGCCCCACTGTAATACCAGATTTCATTTTAAGTTTAATTACTTAATGTTGACCTTTAAATAATGAATTTGGGTTTCTACAAATAGCACAGCTAATTAAATTGAGGGCTACAAATATTATAAGGCAATGTATATAAGAGCATGCATGTGTGTGCGTGTGTGTGTGTGTATTCAAATACAGAAGCTGGCTATACACACACACATGCATACAGACAGAAGGTTAAATCATCAGGTCCAGATGGTCTCCACTTGAGAGTATTTAAATAATTCAAAAGTAAAAATGGTTAGTCTTCTAATCAAAATATTTAACTTTTACCAAAGAACTGGAAGCAGCAGTTTTGATACCAGAGTTTTAAAGAAGTCTAGGAGGACCCATGAAATTACAGGCTAGGTGTATCTGTTTTGGATTAATTGGTGAATATGTATGTATATATGTATTCATTCATTAAGCCTTTAGATGCACAACTTCTGTTGAAGAGGAATCCCTATGGCTTTTGCAAAAGTAAATCTCACCAATTTTTCTGAGTAATTTCAGAGCATAAGGAAAAATGTGGACAGAAATGATTCAGCAGACATGACATAATGGAGCTTCCCAAATCATTCTGATAGAATCTTTCACTGAAAACCTGAACAAGTTATTCAAAGTAAAGTAAGCCACCTGTTTGTGGCTGAGAGCCGCATTCAGTGCTTCCTTGGTTTACCAGTAGGACAATAATGCAGAGCAAACAGGGTCACAGCATTTATGTGGGAACAGCCATGATTTTCTTGGCTTTGTTGGAAAAGGGCTAGATATTTCTTTTTCTTTTGAAGTCTACTTAAAGTTTATAGTATATGTTTCGTGCATTTCCTGTCAAGTTTCAACTACCACATGTTTGACTATCACATATGGCCCAGAGGCCACTGGTTGTTTATCAAGAGGACCAGTCAATTTGTAGTTCAATAACTGATTCAGTAATAGAAAATTAAGAATGGAAATAAAATAAGCCTTTCTCACACTAAAGGAATATTTTAATTCCTCTGCCCCTACCCAATCTTTACTGGGAGCATTTTTTTTCAAGTGAAGGCTTTTTGTTCACTTTAGCTGATGATGATGCCTGATTAATTAACATTTAATTAATTAATTAATTAACATTTAATATAGTGGATTTTACTTTATATGTGACTGCTTGACCACATCCACTTTGCCCATATGAAACAAAACACCTCATATGTAATTCCTTGACCCAAAACCTTGTACACTCATGGTGCCTTATATTGGTTAATAAGAGGAAGTCAATATCTCTCATATAGTTGCTGAAAAACTGAAGATCATTTTGTGCCAATACTAAATGCATAAGGGCCTGAAATTCAAAAATTAAATCAAAAACTCAGACCACACTCAAATATTCTATATCATAGTTTATAAACTCTAACATGGTAAGTTTTGTCCAAGGTGACAAAGCAATAGTCAATTAATTCTTAATATTGGACCATATGTGGGAAGAAGTTGTCCATTATTCTCTAGTATCCATCCAACATGAAAGTACATTGTCATGGTCATTTACATAATTGGCATAAACAACATCAATCTCCAGTAGTAATGTATGGCTGTGAGAGCTGGACCATAAAAA